ATTTGAGGTCAATTCGTGAGGGAGGGGAACCGTCAGAGGGCATAGTGTTTCATCTCTGGACTCTCCCATGGCTGATGGCGGTTCAAATCCCAGACCTGTTGGCTTAAAAATCACGCCAGTGTGTGTGTGTGTGTAGTGTGACTCTAAGCCCCTGGGTCCAGGAATTGAACCACGGTCGACTATGTGGGAGTTCAGCAATATAACCATTATTCCATCTGCTGGTCCCTTCCTTTCTTAGGATCTTAAGTCAAGTCCTTATGGAGGGGAACCGGCAGATGGCATAGTGTTTCATCTCTGGACTCTCCCATGGCTGATGACGGTTCAAATCCCAGACCCGTTGGCTTAAAAATCACACCAGTGTGTGTGTGTGGGGGGCGATCCCGGGAGGAGAATGGAGAATGGACTGTGGGGGGCCATTCCCTCTGGTAGGTGATTTCTCACTTTCCCTCTCACTGTGTCTCTCTCTCTGGGGAGCATATGCATCATAAGGCAATCTTTTTAAAAAAAAAAAAAAAAAGATGTTATGGAGAACCAGCTCTGTGGTGGGAATGCTTTGGATTCACAGCCTGGAATTCTCAGGTCTTGCTGTGGGATTAAGACCAGACAAGGAGTGGAATTGATGGCTCATAGATCATTCTAAGCTTCTTCAAGGCCAGCAGGAAGACTCAGAGAGCCAGGTACAATGGGTGCTCTGTGTGGAGGGTGGTGTATTTCTTTCTTTTTTCTTTTTTTTTTTAATTTATTTTTGCATTTTCCCACAAACATTCACTTTACATATCAAAAAAATTTAACTCATACTCCATAGTTCTTTTTTTTTCTTTTTTTTGGAGAGGTTTTTGCTATAGGGCATGTGCGCTCGCCAGACAGAGAGAGACAGAGAGACAGAAAGCGAGAAATCACCCCCCAGAGGAGCTGGTCACGCTGCAATCTCTTCTCCTCCATTCTCCTCTCGGGATCTTGGGCACACACGCACACGCGCCCGGCGTGAGTTTTAAGCCACCGGGTCCGGGAAGCAAACCGTAGTCGACTACGTGGGAGTCCAGCGACCCTTTCTTTTTTTAAATTTATTTTTACATTTTTCCACAATCATTTACTTTACATATCAAAAAAAAAATTTAACTCATACTCCATAGTTCTTGACAGTTAATAAACAACTTTCAAAATTTCAAAATGCTGAATTTTAAAGATAATGTTCAAAATATTTCTTATAATTTTGTTTGTGACTATAACAAAAAAAAAACAGTATAGTTTTGAATATTTTTGAGAAAGTATTTATATGTCAACTGCTCAGATTGTTGAAAAGCAAATGCCCAGCACACTACACACATAAACCTTCTCAATTCAGCCCTGTCAAGTATTCTGTGATATACCATCTGCTAGCAAAGATCAGTCTCTTTTTCTTCCTTCAAAGTCTTTCTCAAAATAATCCTCTGGTGCGGTTGCTCTTTTGCAATCTCTACTGATTACAATGCTGGGCTGGAAAAGTCCAGGTTATTTTGTTATAAATTCTTTCATATATCTTCTCTAATCCTCTCTGCAAGGCAGAACTATTTACGATGCCAGGCCATCTTTCTAAGAGCTTCTGTTGGCTTACTTGAGATCCTCCTTAGTTCTATAGTTTTCTGATTAACCTTCAGGTATGACATTCCAGTCAAAGTCCTGTCCAATAATGAGTATTTCCAATTTCTGAATCAATGCAACAAACATTGTTGAACTTATGCAAATAACCCTTCTGCCACAAAAGAATATTCCCAAATATTTTCCAATTCCAGAGGGGTCAGGAGGGAAGAAAAGTTTATGTTCCCATTTAAAGAAACAAACAAAATATTTTAATATATTGCTGAACCTATCAACAACTCAAAAGAAAGTAAACTGTTTAAATTGGGAAAATAAAGCATAGTAAAATCAGTAATATTTTACTCAAAAGTCATAAAATTCTATTTCACCAGTTCAGTCTTGTTCAAACTCTCTTCTGTTGAATATGCAGAGTTTCTGTGGTCCAATCTTTCCATTTAAATCCTGGAAGTTAACCTATGTTGTTGTTGATATTTCTTGTCCCTAGCATTAAATTGGTTATTTTCTTGGTTGCCTTTTGTTCTCTTATTTCTGTATGTATCTTTAGTTTTACTGGTTGAACACTCCTTTCAGAACTTGAAGAGTGGGTCTGCTACAGGCAAATTCTTTCAGGTCTTATTTATCTGAGAATGTTTTTATTCTTTCTTTCCATATGAAAGAAAATCTTGCCGGGTATAGTATTCTTGGTTGAAACTGTTTTTCACTAACACTTTGAATATATTTTCCCATTCTTTCCTTGCTTGCATTGTTTCTGATGAGAGGTCTGAGGTTAGCCTGATAGGATAACCTTTATAAGTAATCTGACGTTTCTCTCTTGCCAATTTTAGTATCTTGTCTTTGTCTATTGATTTGGCCAGCCTGGCTATGATGTGCCTTGGAGAAGATCTTGGGTTGATTCTGCTAGGGGTCCTTTGTATTTATTGTGTCTGAATATTTGAATGCCTCTTTAGATTTGGAAAATTTTCTTCCAAGATTTCATGGACTAGATTATCAATGCCTTTATTAGTTTCCTCTCCTTCTAGTATTCTAATTATCTGAATGTTTATGCACTTAATGCTGTCTAGTATTTCTCATATAGTATTCTCATTTTTTGGGGGGGGTATTGTCTCAGTTTTTTTGGTTGTTTTTTTCTACCTCAGAGGTTTTGCTTTCAACATGCCTATGGGTACATTATTTTCCCTCCTCCTCCTGAGTTGAGGAGGGTGAGGACAGAGTCCAGGGCAGAGTTTGGGGTGGCTACAAGAACTTTTAGTTGTTGTTCAAGATGTTTCTCCTCCAGCTCCATTTGATTCTTTTTTATGGTGTGTATTTCCTCTTTCAGATCATGAAAGAACTTCAACACCTCCTGGAACTCGTTGTCTCTTTCCTCCTGCATCTTCTGGAGTTCATTGTCTCTCAGCTCTTGTATCTCATTTAGTTTTGTCCCTATAAATATTCTGAACTCTCTATCAGACATTTCCAGGAATTCTACTGTACTGTCTGTGGATGATGAGGGATTGTTCTTTTCTCTTAGGGGAGAGATATTTTCTTGGTTTCTTATGTTTCTTGTGCCTCTGCAGTTGTTTCTGGTCATTCTGTGACAAAAGCTCTCCTCCACAGTGCTTCACAGTGTGGTATCCACAGTAAGATTAGGAGTTCAGATTTATAAAGGGAAATTTCTTCATTAAAGTGGGAGGTTCAATAAGCGTTGAGGATTTCAGTGACTCTAAAAAGATTCAGATGCTTGGCTACTGTGCACTAGGCCTATCTAGACATTCAGTGTGTGGAGAGTGAAGCTTAGAGTAAGAAAGTAAGATTAAAAAATATAAGCAAAAAAGAAAAAAAAAAAGAAAAATAGTACAAAAAAAGAGAAAAAATGAAAACCGTGCAGCGCGCTAGTGCACCAGGACACACCTCAGCTTTAAAATGGCTTCTGAAATTAGCCAGTGAAAGAACAGGCCCAAGCTGTGGAGAGGTGCTTGAAAATTAAAAAAAAAAAAAAAGAAAAAAGAAAGGTTAAAAATTTAAAGGGAGAGAGAGTGTGAGACAAACAATGAGACAGGCAGAGACAGAGAGAAGATGGAGGTTGTCCTACCTTGTCTGAATGTTTTGAGAGTCTAGGAGACTGGTTAAGAGCATGGCTTCCCTGAACGCACCAGGACACACCTCAGCTTTAAAATGGCTTCATGTCTGGGGAACCAGCAGTTAGCGTAATGGCTATGTCGCTGGACTCCCATGTAGTCGACCGCGGTTCGCGTCCCGGACCCAGTGGCTTAAAA